ACAAATATCAAATCATTATATTATACATATGAAACTAACATAATGTTGTTTGTCAACTGTACCCCATGTTAATTGTTCTTACCACAGTAAAATTATATACATAGATACACACATACAGCTCAATTATCTTGATGGTAGCAAGAAAAATTACATACACTAAAGTATCTTACTTTACCAAGCTAAGTGGTTGCAGTTGCTGACCTTACAACAATAGCATTCTTTCTTCACTGTACCACTGGCTTTCTGTCAGTCCATATTAATGCTGTCCTTTTCAAAATACAATTCTGAATTGGCAAGCTTATCTTAACTAGGTAAAGTGCCATATCAACCACCACTATTGTAGTGACACAATGAAACAAAAGCTGAGGAAAATCCAGCAGAGATATCTTTGTTCCTTTTTTCAAAAACAAGTAGAGTTCAAATTACCAAATAAATTCCATCAATTTTAATAACATATTTTTAAATCAATTCAAATCTACCTTTTCAAAACTGATTTAGTATCTTCCCAAACTGTAAGTTGATTGTCCATGTTTATGCCACTCACTAAATTTTGCAAGTATTAGTTTGTCAATGGTATAAAAGGCAAAGATAAACTACCATTTTTATAAAAACCCAGTCACATGTTCTTTAAAAAAAGCATATATTAGAGAAACTACATTTTTTTAACTCCAAACACATCTCCCACACTCCTTTTGTTTAAAAAAGCCCAATACAGCCATTAATATCAGTCATTTCTCCCTAAAAAGTATAATATGGAAAGAATTTTAACTTAAATTCTGCAATTGTAGGCAGTAGTCTGAATAATGGAAGATATTAAGCAAATATGCTTCAACTAGTTCATAAAACTAGATTTCCTATTTCCTTACCACTTCTTCTCATTAATAGGCATTACATGTAGCTTGACATAAAGCCAACCCTACTGCATCAAAGGAATGTACCTTTGAGTTTTTGCAAATGTATAAAAGGTGTTTTTGAAAGATTTTCTTAATGAACAAGCAAACAAAGAAAAGGTTAAAAAAACCAGTAATCACTCTTTTGCTAATTTCAAATCATATATTATCCTCCCATATATATACAACCTCTTTGATCATTGGGAGCCTGGGGGAGCATTTTTCTTAGAAACCAAAGCACGAACTAAAAAAAATCAAATTGGAAAAAGCAAGTATCTGACCCAGAAGTTACTCAACATGTTGTCCATAATCTACAAAGAATCAAAGTTATGCACTAACTTCAGCCAAACCAAGATACACCTCTTTCTGATAGGAAGGTTTTTTTCTGAATTAGGAAGAAGGTTAATTTACTCACAGCCCAGACAAAGAAGCATTTTAGTATGGTTAACACCACAAGATTCTGGAAGCAGAGAGTCTGAGTTAGAATCCCTTCTCTACCATTTGTTTAGTATATCTTAAGTTACTCAACCTGTAAAGAATTTAGAGCAGTGCCTAGTACAGAAGAGTACTCAGTAGATGGAGGATATCAACATACCTCTAGATCTCTGAGACCTGGCATCACTGAGAAGAGTATCAGAAATTCAAACTCAGGTCCATTTCTGGACTTACAGAGTTAGAACCTGCATTTTTATCAAGATCCCATTGTGATTCAAATGCAACTTTAAGTTTGAGAAGCACAGCTAGAAAGCATTTTTACATTATATTCTGAGATGTTACCTATTATAATTAAATTTATTTTAAAACCACTCCATTACTTTTCTGCAACATGAAGAAGTTACATTTATTTTTAGTAAAAGGGAAAGTATTATTTGGGCTCAAAATTCCTCCACTGGTGATTTCCTACCATACCTTAAAGGCACAACCAACTAAAATCCAAGGCTGTAGAGTACTGCCATCTAGTGGTAGTTTATTCTGGTGCACATGCAAAATAAATTCACTCTGCCTTCCCACTCCTCATAAATACATTTGTTTAAAATGGGGCCAGGTTTTCTTCTTGCTTAATTCCTTTCTTGAGAACTACTGACATGATTATACAACTAAATAATTCCACAAGAAGGCATCCTAAACACAGAGGAAGATAGAAGACAACAAATGTTAAGTTTCCTTTTTTAATTCAGATAAGTCTAGGGAAGTTTTCAAATTAAAAGACTGACCCGCTCACTCCTGGAAAGGTGCACATTAGGTACACACAGTGATATCAGGCTTAGAAAATGGGCTTTGTACTGAAATGTGCATATCCTGGAGTGACTTTTACTTTCTTCTTCTTAAGTTCTGTACTTTTTACAATTTATTTATATAGTATATGGCAGGGGGAGTTTTCAGGTTGAGAAAAAAATTTTTATAACCTAGTGACTCACTATCCCCATTTTCACATTCTATCCTAGGGAAATAATCAGAAATGTGGACAAAGAGTTATGTACAAAGATGTACATTTCAGCAAACAAAACAATCTTAATAGCTTCATAACAACCTACTGAACTAGGCATCAAAACTTAGTCATTCTCCTCTATTACTCATTTAGATAAGTTCTAATTTTTCCCTATTACAAACAAATATATAAATGTATATATGAAAGGAAGGACGGGAGGACAGAAAGAGGAAATAAATAACTATATGGCAACTTGATATGATTTTTCTATATTTTGGATCATTTCCTAATACACATTGCCATAAGTCACATATGAACATCCAAGAATATTTTCATGGTTTTCAATAGCCAACCTGCTTTATAGGAATATTATGTCATTTTACATGGCCCCAAGCAATGTAGGATACGCAGACTGTACTATCACCTCTCTAGCATCAGATTTTATCCCATGGCTAATGTTTTTGACAATTGTATTGAGATATTATATATCACCTCTTTAAAGTATACAGCTCAAGTATTTACTGTATTTGTAGAACTGTACAACCACCATCACCATAATCTAATTTTAGAACATTTTCATCCTCCCAAAAAGAAATCATGTACCTATTAGTAGTAACTCGGTTACCCCCTGGAAATCTGCCAATACGGCTGATTTTCACTAATTTACCAACCCCACTATTTTTTCATATTTTTTGTAGATACCACAGTGATATTATGTGTTTCAAACCCTTTAAATGGAATAATCACTTCTGCTACTCAGACATTTCTGTTTCAAATTGTGAAATGTTCTGCTTAACCAAAGGAAAGTAAAGCATGTCAGAATGGCCTCTTGTTTTTTCAACAGGTACTTTTTAAGTGTAAGGCAAAGTTTAAGAAATAAGAGAAGGTATTATATAAGTACAAAGTCATCTGCTCTTTTCAAAACAATTAGCAACTATATCATTACTTTGGAAGTCCATTATTAAATCTGGCAAAAATGTCACACAAAAGCAAGGAATCTCTTTTTACTTATTTAAAACTTTATTTTAATTGGGTTAACTTGATCTGATAAAAAAAAAAAGTACAGTGCAATCAATATAACATCTGATAGGTGGTCTAAAGAATTGTCTTGATTCTACCAAAAAAATTAAAACTTACTTTCATTTAGCCAAAGCACTTTTTTCTCTTATAATTTTTTGGACTCCAGATGCACAGAATTTAGCAATTTGCCTTTTGAAGATTTAGTAGGGGAAAAGAATTAAAACAGTTTATTAAACAACAGAGGCCTAGGTCCCCTGATCATGTCAGACTTTTTTTTTAAAGAACAGTGAAAATCAGTTCTGACAACTGAGATTAGGAAGGGATACTTCACTGATAAAAGTTAGCCTCTCACCAAATTTTAGCACTTTCTCTCCTCTCTTCATCCAACTCTGGACATCTCCCGTATTCCTTAAATAATCCAAACATTCCCATTACTCAAGTTAAGCAAGTCCACAATCTAGCCAAGTGTTTTGTTTCATATCACTTTATGCAAAACATTTATTTGTACATCACCACCTAAAATATTCCTGTTAATTGATAACACTCAAATTCATTCTTCCTCACCTTTATCTCTGTGTATGAAAGAACTGAGTTCACACAAATGACTTCCAAAATAAAGTCATTTTTTTTCATGTCACTAAAGAAAAATCTAACATAGGCAGTCTACATTTAATACAATGCTTAAACAATTAACTCATAAAAATGAGAAAGATATTTTACCCAGAAAGAGGTAAAATATTGTGAAATCCCTAGTTCATGTTCCACAGGTACCTCCCCACCACCCCCCCAACACACACACACAACCACAAAGGTAAAGCGTCACTACCTGGCTTCCTGTCCTCACTCCAGCACCAGGGGCTCCTCTATCGCCCTATCACAGTGAAGTGAGAGGAGGTAGATGGTAGATAAAAAAACTCTCCCATGCCAACAGCAACAGGGTACCCAAGCAAGCATCAAGCCCTGGTAACGCAGGAAGCTCTGGGATTAGGGTGGGCAAGCTGCACGTAGCCCCATGCTACCTAGAAAAAGATACCCCCCCCAAGGTGGAAGGAGCCCAGCCTCACTGAGCCAATACTTGGTAAATGTAATGCCTTTGTGAAATTTAGAAAAGGCCCCCTTCCTCTGGGGAGGTTTATTCTAGGCCAGGGCACATGGCTTGATGAGCAGGATGAGGTCTGCATTTCAGTCTCCGCTTGCCCCCAGTCCAGGCACTCTAAAGCAGAAACAACCTACAGAACCCTGGGCAGTGGCCCTGGGTGGGGAGAGGATTCTACAGCTTCGCCCGGCCCTATCACAAGTAGGACAGGGATGCCCTATCAAGGAGATCAACCCCTTCTTCCACTAAGAGAGGCAGTCACACAGTTCTACCCAAAAAAGCTCAATTTCAGTCAGCTCATGTACAAAGACAAAATTTAAAGAAAAGACATTTTTAGAAATATCTCTGTAGACCATATAAAAGTGCTGGTTATAAGAAAATCAAACACATTTGATGTTTAAAGTTTTTCTTTTCATTATTTTGCTTGACCACTTGAATATAAAGGTCTCAATAAAATATGTTTAATTCCCTCTGAGATTCATACCCCATGATCCTCCATTTTTATATGGCCAAATATCCTAAATCTGGTACTTGCAATAGCATACTCACGATTAATGCAAATTACCTTTTACACCACCAAATGATCCATAAGTCATATTGCAGGCTGTTCTCTGAAGGTTATGTTCATACATCAATTTGATCTGATATTGGTTTCCGTGTTCCACATTACCCAAGGTTCCTAAGGAGAAAAAAATTACAGAATTGCTTTGTATTTGTTTACATTTAAAAATATTCATTTCTTCTCATCCTCCACCCCAATTCTAAGTAATTCAATTTCAGTGAAATTTAAAATGACAAAGCACTAAAACAATGCGTATTATGAATAATTAGCATACTGATGACACAGAATTCCAGCACAGTTAGAACAATTTAAGTCTTGGGTAGATTACACCATTAGATGAAATACCACCTTGGGTGACATTTCTTATCTATTTCCATTATGTTTGAGTAAAGTATAATTATTTTAAATAAAAACAGAACCGTTCAATTTTAGTTCTGAAATAAATGAGGTCAAGTTCCTTATACTTAAACAATAAAAGAGCAAAGACATGACTCAAAGTGTCTTAGAAAAAATTCCCCACACTTTCAAGCAATTCAGCTTCCTTTCCCAACTTTCCAAATACTCAAGCCCCTAATACACTATATCCTAATTTAATGGATAGATATTCTAAAGTTTCCTTTAGCAAGTAAAGAGGACAATATGTTTTATTTGAAGTCCTCGAAGAAGAATCTCCTTCAAAGCAAAGATACTTTTTCTGCATTTAATAGATCATATGTACTATAATTTCTTTCTATTTCTTTCCAAATTTGAAAAGATTCTTTTTTTAATAAAGATTTTATTTATTTATTTGAGAGAGAGCGAACATGAGTGGGAGGGAGGGGCAGAGGAAGAGGGAGAAGCAGACTCCCCACTGAGCAAGAAGCCTGATACGGGGCTCGATCCCAGGACCCCGAGATCACAACTCGAGCTGAAGACAGATACTCAAGCGACTGAGCCACCCAGGCACCTCAAGAAAGATTCCTTATATTTATTTTACTCTCTGGTTGTTAGGCTTTCTAGAGGACTTACAGCTGAAGCTATGTCCCAGTAACCAGGCAAGAACGTTATATTAAAAGAGGTGATAGAAAAAAAAAGGATTCAGAATGCAACTTTTCCATTGAGCATCTTTGTCTTTCATTCAAAAATGCAAAATTTAAAGAAAAACTTAAAATACAGAGCAAATGAAATAGTCCCCCAACTGGATAGTATTAGATCATTAAAACAATCTAAACATATACGTCTATCTGTATGTATGTGTATACATATTTATACATGAGCATTTATTTTAGTCCAAAAGGTTTTACCAATGTACACTGAGGTTGTAAGAACCAAAATATTTCTATTTCCATTTTAGAAGTGAGGCAAGTACCCTAAGTTAAAAAAAAGTTTAAGGGACACCTGGGTGGCTCAGTCGGCTAAGGGTCTGCCTTCGACTCAGGTCATGATCCCAGAATCCTGGGATCAAGTGCCCCATGAGGCTCCTTGCTCAGTGGGGAGCCTGCTTCTCCCTCGGCTTGCCACTCCCCCTGCTTGTGCGTGCGCGTGCTCTCTCTCTCTCTGATAAATAAATAAATAAATAAATAAATAAATAAATAAATAAATAAATAAATAAATAAATAAATAAATAAATAAATAAAATGTTTAAGAAATTTTCCCCCAAATCACACAGCTGGTAAAGGACAGAGTACTCAAAGTAGGTCTTTAGAGTTAGCACTATATATCCTGGTGCCTGGCTGTCCATCATTTTATAACTTGGAAAAAACTTGGTAAGCCAATGACAATTTCCCTAAATAAACCAGCCATCAAAATACATCATTTCCACCTCCACCTTTCTTAGCCTGGCCTTTTCTTCATTTGGAAGGTGAAGGGTTGAAAGAGAAAACTAACAGGGGAGAATTTCTTGGAGGAAAATCACTTCTCTGATTTATGCCCCTGAAAATGGGAACAACAGACTTCACATACCAATAGAATAATAAACAAAGAGAAAGACTCAAATTTGCCTGCTAACCCTGATAGATGAAAGCTTTGTGAAATCTAAATGGTAGTAAAATCAGTAAGGTGCAGGGAAACGGGTAATCGCAACCACATGGGCCAAAAAAAAAGAAAAGAGAAAGAGAAACACACACACACTAAATAACTCACAGCCTTAACCTTAAGAGAGGTCCAGCCTACAAGAAACCAGGAAAAAAAAGTTCCAAGAAACTTGGAAATTTGGTTTGTCCCTACAGAAATTACAAATTTCATCCTGTACCTAAAACCAAATCAACTCCTCTGAGTAAGGAATGCATTTACACATGTTTGCTAGCTGAAAGGTCAGTGAACACAGGGGTCAGCATTCAATACTTAGACAAACTTGGCATGAAATGACACTAGGATTTGTGTTCTGCAAAAGCTCCAAAGGCAGTAGTAATCTTCAGATTTCAGATAATAGCACTTTAAAACTTAATAATGCACCTATGGAGAACAGAAGACAATTTGTCTTCCTTAGATACTACTTTGGAATAAAATATCTGAAAAATATAAAATTTCTGACCATTTTTTCCTAGAGAAGCATCGATGACACAAGATTAAAATTACTTATACACAGGTTTTGTCCTGGGATATACAGATTGAATATAGCAAGTGTATCTCTATAAATACAGTCCATGTATAGCTAAAATTAATATGAAGTTTCATTGGGGTGCCTGGGTGGCTCAGTCATTAAGCGTCTGCCTTCAGCTCAGGTCATGATCCCAGAGTCCTGGGATCGAGCCCCGCATCGGGCTCCGGGCTCTGCAGGAAGTCTGCTTCTCCCTCTCCCACTGCCCCTGCTTGTGTTCCTGCTCTCGCTATCTCTCTCTCTATCAAATAAGTAAATAAAATCTTAAAATATATATATATATATGAAGTTTAATCAATTAGAAAGTAAAATGAATATTAGAACACTGATGCTATTGGCCTTATTTAAACATGATGTGATTTAAACAAAAAACTCTCTGTTAAAATCAAAGGTCACCTTGACAACAGTTTTTGGTGCAATTTTAGATAACTGTGGAGAAATCTAATGAAGTTAAATGAAATAAAAGCCATTACAGAGTAATAAATTAAAAGGTTCATTGTGTTAAATAACCAAATTAGATTATATAAGCCTATCAAAAGTAAAGAACCACATCTTTTTGCCCACTCACAGCAAACATTAAAATTCTATAAATATGTCAAATGCTTAGCAAATGCTTGCTGAAGTACATAATTTTTGGAAAAGAATATTTAAGAGAACATAATCAGTATGGCTTATGCTCACACATCTGTAACCATTTACTCAAAAACTGAAGCCCATCAGAAAGGAATCTGAAGAATGGATAAAGAAAACATGGTATATATATACCATGGAATATCATGCAGCCATCAAAAGGAATGAGATCTTGCCATTCGCAACGACGTGGATAGAACTGGAGGGTGTTATGCTGAGTGAAATAAGTCAATCAGAGAAAGACATGTATCACATGACCTCACTGATATGAGAAATTCTTAATCTCAGGAAACAAACTGAGGGTTGCTGGAGTGGGGGTGGGGTGGGAGGGATGGGGTGGCTGGGTGATAGACATTGGGAAGGGTATGTGCTATGGTGAGCGCTGTGAATTGTGCAAGACTGTTGAATCACAGATCTGTACCTCTGAAACAAATAATGCAATATATGTTAAAAAAAAAAAAAGAAGAAGAAGAAGAAGATAGCAGGAAGGGAAGAGTGAAGGGGGGTAAATCGGAGGGGGAGACGAACCATGAGAGACGATGGACTCTGAGAAACAAACTGAGGGTTCTAGAGGGGAGGGGGGTGGGGGGATGGGTTAGCCTGGTGATGGGTATTAAAGAGGGCACGTTCTGCGTGGAGCACTGGGTGTTATGCACAAACAATGAATCATGGAACACTACATCAAAAACTAATGATGTAATGTATGGTGATTAACATAACAATAAAAAATGGGAAAAAAATAAAATAAAAAAAGAAAGGAATCTGAAATGCCATGTGATGCTTTTCCTTTAGGTATGATAAGGTGGGCTAACTTCATTTCAGCAAGACCCTGCTATTTCTCTATATTAAGCATGCAATTGATAACATATCACCCACCAAAAAGAGGTCAGCACAGCAGCCTGACTATGAAGGGTTGTTTGGTGTGTCCAGGAGGTCTCCTCTAGTATGCCTCAAATCTTTTTTTAGAAGCACACAGCATAAAAAGAAAACAAAACATATTTGGGGAGGGAGCAGTTGGAGGTGAGAATGTCAAGTTCAGCTAACACTTTCATCTGTTGACACCAGCGGTTTTACTTAAACTAAAAAATGTTTACGCTTGCCCTGTTATAGTAAAAGCTAGGTAAAAGTTCAGTCTGGAACCTCAAGAAACATATTCAACAGAACAAAAATATTAACTTTCCTGCTTCTCAATTCAAGCCAAGCCAGAAAAAATATACAAATTGTCAGCCTCCAAATATCATAAGAGGCTGAAGAAATGAGAGACAGAATAGGGAAGTGAGGTGGGACCTAAGGGACTGTAGTTTAGAGGAGAATACAAAGCTTGCAAACAAATACAAAGAATAAAAGAGCAATAAAATCACCATTCCCATGACAAATAACTTTCATTTTCAACACTAATTTGAAGGAAAATACCAATGTCCCATAAACAAGTTGTGACCAAACATGCCAGTTTCTTTCAGCAGGTCTTTTTGATAAACATACACTTTATCACTAATCTATTATGCCCTATGCCCCAGGGAAACCCTAGAGGTTTTTGTCTTTCAGGGCCATCATTCAAATGGGACCAGGGAAGGCCAAGAGTCTTACATAATTTCTAGTTTGCAGGATTCTTCCCTCTCCTGCCCTCCTAGAACCTCCGGAAGGGACCAATTCTCCGAGAAGTATTCAGGGGTAACTGTGCACAAGTTCTCCTCCTCCATGCCCTGTGAAACCCAGTTAATAGTATCACCTCACAGTTAAAAGCCTTATGATGGAAAACAGAGGAACAACTAGATGCATGCAGGAAAGTAGCCTATATCACATCTTCTCCATTTATTCTGGAACACTAAATATTTGCCCTATCACTAGGAAAAGCAACATCTTTTACCATGAAATCAGTGGGAGTGTTTACCAATGACAGAGAGGTACTATATCGGGCTTCTGACTTATAAATGGAAAAGTGGAAAAGAAAATGATAGTGGTACAAAGGAAAAAAAAGAAGGAAGAATAAAAATAACATACAGTAATAAAGAGCCCCTACCAATTGCCTCAGCAATACCCCAAAATTAGTTCACTCACACAGTCAACATATGCCTACCATATACCATAGTCCAGGTTACCAAGCCTGCCTTTGAAATCTAACAGAACTTCACCCCCAAAAAGAGACTACTTAAGAACATCCAGCTCAGGGGCACCTAGGTTGCTGAATTGGTTGAGCGTCCGACTCTTGCTCAGCTCAGGTCCTGATCTCGGGGTCATGAGTTCAAGTGCCACACTGGGCTCCACACTGGGTTAAGGGTATATAAATATACACATATAAATACAGTAAAGACAAATCATTACTCAAACTGAAAGCAAAATACAAAGAAAGCCCAAATGAGTATGAAAAATTCAAATCCTAGAAGCTAATATTTATAGCAAACTCCAAAGAACACCTCTTGTATGAGGAACAGACCCCCAAACAATTAGCTTTATTGTACCCATAAAAAAATTTCCCCAATATTGACATCCATGAAAATAACTCTCTCAGCTTGAACTAAAATTTATCTAATTACTACAACAAAAATTTTTAAGTTAACTTTTATATTTAATAAGGATCAAAATGCTGAAACCAAACTATAATTAACTGCTATACTGGTACCTACAGAACAGTGTCAGGGAATGACAAGTGCCTTAAGGCAGGCTGAGTAAAAACAACCAAAAGCCAAGAAATTTGAACTGTAAAGAGAAAACACTTAAGGTTCATCAAAGAAAGAGTACTTTAAACCACCATGACTCTCAGCATCTAATGAATTTTGTTGTTGCTATTAAACATTTCTTAAAACCCAAGTGTCCTGGATAAAAGGCACGGCATAAGGAATACAGTCAATGGTAATGTAATAGCACTGTATGGTGACCGATGGTAGCCACAGCAGAGCACAATGTAGAGAGAAGTGGAATCACTGTGTTGTACACCTGAAACTAATGTAACATTGCGTGTCAGCTATGCTTTAATAAAAAATAAATAAAAGTTTTTTAAAACACTCAAGTATCCTAAGTATACAGAATTGGCCTCTATTAGTCACAGACAATCCTGGACACAATTCCTGAGAAGGAGATTACAAGGAATCCTCCCCTAGAAATTTAAATATGCATATAAATAGCAAACCAAAAAAAAAAAAAATGTAATAGCCTAAGTACTTGAAAAAATAAATGAACAAGGGAAAATGTTAACCAAGATAAGATAATCTTCAACCAAATGTTTTGTGTGTTCTCTAGCAAGTGAACATAAGTGAGTATCTATTCTTACATAATATTAAAAGTTTTTATATTAAGGTGTTTTTAACACAAATTTTACATTAGAAAAAAATGTTTCTTACCTGAGATAGAATAGACACAAAGTTTTCTAGAATGCAACACAGCCAAATGAAGCATTTCAGTACCTCTGAAAAATGGGAAAAGTTTTTTAAAAGTTTAAATATCAATTTCAGATGTAACAAAAAAAATTATAAAATTTTTAAAAGAGATTATAACCACAACATACTATCAGTAAACTAAAAATTTAATACATAACATTCAAAACTGAAAAATCAATGTAACAACAAACACCCACTTTGACAATCCCAGAGGCTCAAGGACTCTGCCTCAAGGAACTAACTGCCTGAAGTCAAGGGAGCCTCCCAGGAGAAGTCACATCCGAGGCCGCTTCATGAGGGCTATCCCTTAATACAGAGATCCAAATTCTGGCCCTGTCTCTCTGGGTAATTATCCTATGACCTTGGGCAAGTTACTTAATCTCTCTGAGCCTGTTTCCCCCTCTGGAAAATAAGAGGTTTCAATTAAATGAAATAAAATCATGCAACAGCACCTTGTAAAGTATAAAGCATCACAGAATGCTAATCATTATTAGTAAATGGCACATGTCACTTCCAGCTCAGAAATTTTATTAAAGGCACTGAAAATATTTCAGTTTGAACTAAACTGCCACTGTCACCAATACACTTCTCAGCCCCTATCAAGTGGTTTCCAAGATATAACACAGTCTAGAAATCCTAAGTCCAGTCTTCAAGATCAGGTCAGTGGATAGAAATGAGTAAAGGGTGTAAACGGCTGTGGTCTGCTGCAGAGTAGGGCCAGACTAGAGGAAGTAACTACTACTCAGTTCTGGGCATGTGGCCAAATCTCCACATTTTTTCAAGAAAACCCAGAAAGCAGGGATTTTATGTGAAATCTCTGGTTCTTAAATATTGGCAACTCTTTTAAATTTAAAACACATCTGCAAGCAGTCCTCCAGTGTACAACATCTGATACAGACTCTGTTTGTTCTAAACTAGAAAGACTATAAATTAAATCTGAAGACCTGGATTGGGGTCCTAATTGTGCACCTTGGCATCTGTGTAATCATTTAATCTTTCAGAGTGTTAGTCTCTCATTTACAAAACAAGAATTATATTAGATAATACCTGCAAAACATTGTTTTAATGAATGTAAATGCTCACCATTCACTCTACTACCAGAAAATGCAAAAAATATATACAACTATCACATACTCAATACTGACTTCAAAAAAATTTTATTGCCCTGCACACTCAAAACAATTTTTCTATCATGCACAGGAAAAGAACATTATGTCATAGAAAGATAACAGAGTATGGCATCAGATAGACCTAGGTCTAAATCCTGGCTGTGTGACCTAAAGCTCTGAGCTCTAGCTAGTTTCATTCTCTTTAAATACAGATCACATCTCATAGATAAGATTAATGAGATAGTACCAGTTAGTTAATACGAGTACACTATCCACTCATTAATGTTAACCCCTACCTTCCAACAAGTGACTACCTAGATAAAAGCTATACTTAGGACTACTGAACAGAATGATCGTGACAGCACCTCACTCTTTTAAAAAATGAAAAGATAAAAATGCTTTTTTTAGAGGCAAGAATCCTTCTGTCTCCTTACTTTATAAATCTATCATGCCTAATATATGCTAGGTATACAAAGGGCACCTAATCATCATCTACTTTTAGATGGAGTGGATATTTACCAACCACGTCGGACACAAAATCTCTCTGATCCAGCCTATCACAGTACATAAAAGTCCTACCTCATGCCCTGCCTATAGCATCCATTCAGAAGAAAACATCACTAGAAGGGGGTCAATGTTCAAGAATGGTTGTTCAAGTTTTTCTAGCAAGAGTCAAGGCCCTGAATAAATGGAAACTGGGGCCAGTAAATTATGACAAACGAATGTAGTGAGTCAAAATCCAGAGCTCAGGGTATTCCCAGACTTAGAAAGGCAAAGGGAACTTTAAAAAAAAAAAGGTAAGGAATAATAAGACCACCTCTATCTATATAAATTTTCACAATACATACTTTTATAATGATTAAGAAACACAGGCTCAATTTTAAGAAAACTCATGTATGAAAATAAGATAAAATCAGCAGTATCATCAGGAAATAAAAAGCAGACATATTACACAAAATGCAAACTAATAAACAGCTTCCTAAAATAAATTTGTTTTAAAAATAAAGTACTTTGAAACAAAGCTCTTGTAAAAGTTAGATTTACTTTGTGGATTGAGCTGGCTTCTTTTAAGAAACTAAGGACCTTTCTACACCAAATAAGTGCAGTAATTCATTTTAAAGCTTCAAAGTAAATGTCAAATACCATAACTGCTACTTTGTCTAATTATTTAAACAGACATTTATATAACCTAGGCAATTAGTGCTTTAAGTAAGTGAATACTTTCTACTTCTTTATTTATTTTAAATAAAGCTTTTAAAAGCTTATCTCTTTTTCTTTAAACTTCTGATAAACTTCTGGCAAACTTCTGGCATGTTAGGTCTGTCACCATAAAAAAAAAGTCCTAAATTATTCTCATAAATCTGCAGGTTTCCATATAAAAAAAATATATATTCATCCAGTACATGAGGAACACCCAGGTAACAGTAATCAGAAAATATATTTAACTCATGGATAATCCTTTTTTTATTTAAGCATCCACAAAAATGACAGTCAGGGAATGACATCCTCCAAGTAAGATAAAATGTCAGAATTAAGGAGCTGTACTGGGGCGCCTGGGTGGCTCAGTTGGTTAAGCGACTGCGTTGGGCTCAAGTCATGATCCTGGAGTCCCGGGATAGAGTCCCACATCGGGCTCCCTGCTCAGCAGGGAGTCTGCTTCTCCCTCTGACCCTCTTCCCTCTCATGCTATCTCTCACTCTCTCTCTCTAATAAATAAATTTTAAAAATTAAAAAAAAAGAATTAAGGAGCTGTACTTACGAAACAAACTTCCCTACTTCCACTTGCAATATTGGATCTCGTAGATGCACTTCTAGAAGCAAATCTTCAGCTTGAGTTCCATCTCCTGTTTTTACAGGATGGGGGTTAAAAATTCTTAGGTATCCCATAAAGCTACCCACAATTATTTTATCTGTAGAGAGATGTTTTTAAAAGATATAAGAAGAAACAAATATTAGCAACAAAATGTCTTTGGAAATAAACTTTCCAATGTCTAAAAGAAAAATTTAAAAATTAAAACAATCAAGTCTTGCTTCATATACAAAGGCTAATCTGCCAGCAGATGACATAATTAAAATGAACTTATTTTAATGACATAGCTTTTCAAAAACACCTTTTTTTATATCACCAATATTCAAGCATACTAACATATTACATGTTTTTCCTAAGCCTTGCTTCGATGTCACTCAGTCAAAGCAAGTCCTTTCACAAAAGACTAGTATAAGGTTGTACACTGATTTCATCATAGAGTGTCAACTCTACAGCTGTCAAAATGATTGTATTAAAAAGAATTCTGAGCCCTCACTAGATAGAATGCTCTGATGAACAATGTCTGTACTTGGACACAAGAGGGGGAAATGGTAAGATAGGTGTTGTGGGTTGAATTGTGTCCCCCACGCCAAAAAAAGATATGTTGAAATCCTAACCCCCAGTACCCGTGACTTTATTTGGAAATAGGGTCTTCACAGATCAAGTTAAGATGAGGTCATACTCAATTAGGTGTACGATAAAACTCTCTTATAAGAATAGAAAGCGGGGTGGGGGGTCGGCCTGGGTGGTGCAGTCAGTTGAGTGTCCAACTCTCGATTTTGGCTCAGGTCATGATCTCAGGGTGGTAGAATCCAGCTCCCAGTCGGGCACTGCACTCAGTGCAGAGTCTGCTTGAGACCTTCTCCCTCTCCCTCTGCCCCTCCTCTCTGCACTTGCTCTTTCTCTCTCTCTCTCTCAAATAAATCTTAAAAAAAAAAAAAAGAAAAGAAGAAGGAAGGGGGAGGGGAGGGAGGAGGGAGGGAGGAGAATGCCATGTGAAGACATTTAAGGAGAAGATGATCATGTGGCAATGGAGACAGTGATTAGAGTGATAAATCCACAAGCCAAAGAATGCCTGGGACTACCAGAAGCTGGAAGAGGCAAAGAGGGATCCTACGGGCTTCAGGGGTAGGATGGCCCTGCTGACACCTTGATTTTGGACTTCTAGCCTCTAAAAACTGCCAGAAAATAAATTTCTGTTGCTTTAAGCCACTCGATTTGTGGTACTTTGTTATGGCAGCCCTAGGAAACTAATACTTTAGGTGTCAGTTTTGAAATTGCTGTATTAGTATAGAATATTGACTTTTTTCCATCTACTTAAAAGTAGGAGTTCTACATACTTATTTACTGAGAGCTTATCGCATGCCAACCAATGGTCTATGTAACTTTTATGTATTAACTCATTAAATCCTCATAAGAACCATATGAGAGAGGTACTATTCTGAGAATTTCAATCCTGAATACAGACACCAGGAATCTGCAGCTAGATGATCTGATGACAGACCCCAAGAGTTCTATACAGTCTCTAGAGCCATGCTGTTCCCATCCCCTACTAAGGTTTGGCCAATCAAACTCTTCTTGCATTTGGGAGATCTATGCCACTCTCACTCCAATCCCTCTTTTATTTGTATTTATCAGAGTTGTTTCCTATAACTTGTGACCAAAAAAAATTTTTCAGAAAGAAATTGGCAGCAGAGAATAAACTGCAGGTACTAATTCCTGCAGGGATATTTGGAAATTGGTTCTTGAGTTGAGTTGGGACACAAAACAGTAAGACTCTAGGCAGGGTTAAATAACAATAAAATTGTACACGGTGACAGATGTTAATCAAGTTAACCCTCCAGGTATCTGGGACCCTGTGCCCAATGCAGGTGACACTCTGGTGGACTGGATAGCTGCTGCCCTAGGCCAACTGAACAGGAAGGAGGAATGCCAAACCATATATAAGATGGCTTTTCTAAGAGCACTAGATAATTTAAAATAAGAGAATGATAAGTTTAAACCTCAAAATTCCCATCTCAGGGTAAAGAATAAAATTCAAGGTCCTTGGGACTCTGCAGAAGGAATTTCTTTCTTCTTATATCAGTGAGGCTTACCCACTAAGAATCTAATTCAGGGACTGATTCTGTAGGTTTTAAATTACGGTAACAAATGAGTATGCATAAAAGCAAAGACATTCATCACAAAGAATGGGATTACAATGTTACATAATGAGGTTACTAGCAAAGTCTAGAAGGCTTGAATATACTTAAACCTCCAAACTTTTCTAAAACACTCCTCACTGAGCTTCCTATGCATCCCGCCATGCCCTAATCCCTATTTCACTCACTAAATAACCAAGATTCAACTTCAACACAGCACTTTCTTCAGAGACAAGAGGAAGACAGGATGGCGAAGTCCACACGGTGACAATTTAACCCCTAGAATCAAAATGCGTATGTATGAGTATTAAAATAGTAGAACTTTTATAGTAACCAGATCTCAGGTAACCGTCTAATTCTCACAGATTTTAAGCTATGATTAATGGGATCCCCAGGAATGAAATGAACGACTCATTAAGACCCTTTTTTTCCCAGTGGTTCATTTTTTTGTTGTTGTTAGAGTAGTATTCAATTGTAAGAAGGTCCTATAATGTGTTTATCAAACTCAAGCCTTTTTTGAAATCTATAACCAAAAATATTACAGGTCTCTGAAAAAGACTAACTCAAGCCACCATATAGACAGTCATGGCATCTCACCCATTTCCACACTAAAGTCAATTTACAGACTCAGAGTCCCTTGAATAAAGACAATACAGTGTACAGATGTTGCTGTTACACCACACATGTCTCATATAAGTTTTCCTCAGATCCTTCTCTACAGGACAAGTAGTTATTTATCCAGGTACACTGAGGAAAGGGAAATACCCAAACTTTGTGAGAATACTGAATACTGGCTCTGAGTTACTACTAATTCTGGAAGCCTAGAAATATACTGTTGTTGTTAATTATGGAGACTCAGTGATAAATGAATTTTTTAACTTAGTTCACCCAGTGGGAGAGCAAAGCCAGCCTATGATTTCTCACCGAGTTTCTGAGAGTTTAAAGGAAATGTATTTTCACAGAAAATAGTAGAACATCCTTTTGGTTCCCTAACATGTACATGAAGGATATTATATGGGGAGAGCTATATGGAAGCCAATGGAACTCTATCTCCCCATCAGGGAGAAAAATCTAAATCAATACCACGGGTAGGGGTGCCTGGGTGGTTCAGTTGGTCCGACTCTTGGTTTCAGCTCAGGTCTTAATCTCCAGGTTGTGAGTTCAAGCCCTGTGTTGGGCTCCACACTGGGCATGGAGCCTACTTAAATACACACATGCATACATACATACATACATACACACATACATACCACTGCTAGGCCTGATTTGGGGTAGTTTTCAAAATTCGATGCCAAAAAGCATTAATATGCATATGTGGTGATTCCTACCACATCCCTGTTTAATAACCAAATCTGTCAATACTCAAGTTTAATGGGTCTTATAGAGAGAGTTAGGGTTGATCAGTATAACTTAAAGGGTAACCCCAAATTCTTCTATATTCCACATCTTGTCTTTCTTGGAGACAACTAATACAACCTATCTACTTGAATACAGTTTTAGATCTTAATAATGCATTTCTCCTTTCTAAACAGAAACAGTTTGCTTTCACTGGACAGGAATAGGCATATATCTTTAAATGTACTTCCCACAATCCATTCTGCAGAAACCAGGACTACCTCATCATCATCTCCTAAGAGCCAAATGATGCTGAAAGAAATATGAGTGAAACCCAGGGATCTCCAAGGATCCTCCCCTATACTGTCTGGATCAGTAGTAAATGAAACTACTACAGTTCTCTTTAGGCAAGCATTAATGTACTACATCCCTCAGGAATACAGGCCTAGACCAATTCTCTGGTCCCTCCATCTCTACTCAAGACCAAGAGCCCTAACCAGACAGAAGGTAGTAAAAAAAAAAGTAAGTAGCATAGTTACACAGCCCAGTAACCAGATACAAAACAGAAGGTATCCCTCCAATATGACTTCTTTAAGTTACCATACAATTTTTTCTACTCCTCCATCTTAATTTTAAAATTTTTCCTTCTCTCCCTCAACTATTATATATAAGTTTGGATACAGATTGTACATACCACTGAGTCTAGAGGCAGCAGAATATTGGAACGTGATCATGACTAAAAGACAAGGGAAAGGGATATCACCCAAAGATCCTGGACTTGCACAGCTGGGGCTCCCTGAAAGTGCCTCTGAAGCAGTACGCGTGCATGGCTTTTATCTCCCAATGCAGATGGGTAACAGCACGTGCTTGTGGAGTTGTACAAGGGACAGTTGCCCCATGTGAGACATAAATGCTGAGTAGCTAAAAGATAAATGTAGTAGTTATTTTTCAGTCAGCTTTATGTGTTTTCCACTTAGGATACTTGTAGTAAACTCTCCTCCAGGCCACAGGCTGGCATGGAATCTAAACTGCACCACTGAGACTCTCCTACTCACCCCCACTTCTTACTATCTGTCTCTCCCATGAATCTGAATCTTGAATTGAGAAGAACAGGAAAGTAAGTACCACTTTAAATGCATGGAGTCTAATTTCAACTGGGATCTCAAGATTAGTAAGGAATCCTTCTATATATCAAGTTGGCTTTGCTTAAAACAATTTCAAGATGACTAATACCATCTTTCCACTCTCTCATCACTCCAAAGAAAAGTAGGGGTCATTATTGTCTCAACTTCCCAAACTGACCTGCAAATTTCTCTTCATCTGTATCCATTCTTACCCTCTTGCCTTTTGTCACAGTGAAAAAAAAGTTCTCACACCTTCCATCTGCACACCTGATCCCATCTCTGACTGTCTTCTCTGGATCCCTGCTCTATTTTTTTCTTAAGATTTTATTTTTAAATAACCTCTATACCCAACATGGGGCTCAAATCTACAACCCTGGGATAAAGAGTCACATGGTCCACCAACCAAGCCAGTCAGATGCCCCATCCCTGCTTTAATATATCCTCTCTGCTATACATTGAATATTTCCCACTTGTCTTTACCCTACATTACCACGAGTCATCATCCTCCATTCTTCCTTTCACAGCTAAGTTTCTTTAAAGGGCCATAAACACTCAGTCTTCTCTACCTCCTACTCCTTCAGTCACTGGGCAAATCTAGATTTTGTTACCATTGTGCCCACTCCTCCACCCTCACAGAGAACACTAATGAACGACTTATTGCTAAATGGCATGGAAACTTCAGTCTTTGTGTCACTAAACCTTGCCTCCCAGGTACCACCCCAACTAGTTCTGCCTCTCTGCCTGCCTTTCTCAGAAATCTATTACTGTCTACCCTTCCCAAACCTCCCCCTTTAATGCTTGTATTCTTCAGGTTATGGTCTTTAGATTCTTTCCATCTTATTCCACTTTCTTTCCCTGTGCATTTTCATACATTCTCAGGGCTTCAAATACAACCAGTATATGGCTCACTTCAAAATCACTACCACTGGGTGGGCGGGGGGGCACCCAGGTGGCTCAGTCGTTAAGTGTCTGCCTTCAGCTTGGGTCATGATCCCGGGATCCTGGGATCGAGCCCCATGTCAGGCTCCTTGCTCAGCGGGAAGCCTGCTTCTCCCTTTCCCGCTCCCCCTGCTTATATTCCCTCTCTCGCTGTGTCCCCCTCTGTCAAACAAATAAATAAAATCTTAAGAAAAAAAATGTCTAAAAAAAAAAATCACTACCACTGGGGCACCTGGGTGCCTCAGTCAGTTAAGAGACTCTTGATTTTGACTCAGATCAAGATCTCAGGATCATGAGATAGAACCCCTTAAGCATGGAGCCTGCTTAAGATTTTCTCTCTCTCTCTCCCCCTGCCCCCATCCCCTGCTCCATGTGCACTCTCTAAAAAAAAAAAAAAAAAAATTAAATTAAAATAAAATAAAATAAAATATCGCCACCTCTATTCTGCCTACTAGACATTCCTATCTCAAATAGAGCATGCCCCAAATTGCTCTCATTTACCTTCCATTCTATAAGATCAATGAGAATTATTCTTAAACTGTTATGTGTCATCTTTCAACTTTGGAGCTTATCAAAAATGCAGACACCTAAGCCCACCCTTCCAATCCACCTACCTTTGGGAAATATGGCCTTATAGGAGCTATAAATCTGAGATAGAAAATCTTCATATATAACAATCACCCCAGAATATGATGATACTGGTGGTCCAAGCTTTGAGGAATGATAGGCGATATTTTTTCTATGTGGGACACACATATGAAATGATTTTTGTATAGTATCCTTGGGAAAATAAAGGAAGCTTTTCACAGCTGGCCACAAATTGGGAGGAAGCAAACTGGTAACTGGTAACCCACTGCTGGCACCCCAGTGAAGAGCTCTAATAGAAATGATGAGCGAACAGTAAGCTATACAGACAATCAATCAGGATAGTTTCCAACCAAATTGAGCTTTAGATAGTTTGGACAAAAATGGGTTTGAAATTGTTCTCTTTGGCATATATTTTTATAGCCTGAGTATTCTGTATTGCCAAATAAAAAGAGAATCATAAGTTTTAACAAACAGGCAGAAGACAAGGCTGATAATCTTTGAGGAACCTCTGAGGACACCCTCTGAGTAGAAGACCTTCCCATCTCCTATCAGTGGGAGGGCAGGGCCCAGATTTTCCTCAGAAACAATTTAGGTGCTCAGTATAGCTTAGTACCTCCCATTCTTCTTTGCCAATATAATTTTCTCCTTTCACCTTGCTGCCAAGATTCTACTGTTTTTGTTATACACAAGAGAAATAAAATAAAGAAAAGGTAAGGAGACAATATTCATACACATTGAATGAAAGAATGATTTTAAGTTTCCTTTTTAAGAGGTCAACAACTATCCGGATTACAAAAAAGAAAAAAAGAAGCTCATGACTATAAATTATTAAAACCAAATATAAGTTTCAAATAGCAATGATACAGAACTACAATGTTTTAAAGACCACTTCAAAAAATATGAAGATGCAAAGAGAAGCAAATAATATAAGAATAAGACAGAATGCTGTTTCTAGTATCATAATATGAAAATGAAAGTAATGATTTAATAATTGTTTTCTATCAACAAATAGAGCTAGAATAACTTTTCCATTCTGGTATGAATGGCTTTCAGATAAAATTTTTTAAAAATATAATTTTCCTTGAAAATAATTTCTAAAAATACTTCAAAATTAAAAATATTTTAGTAGCTCCACCTAATTTTGCAAAAAAATGAAAACAAATTTTACAACAAATGAAAACAAACTAAATATTGTCTTGTAATATTTTTCCAGTTCCAAGTCATATGACAGAATCAACACAAACCAGAAAAACACAAAGAGCAAAACAGCAGTAAGAACTATATTTATCAGTCTGCTACCTAAATATTATAAGGAAAACTACCTTCAAAATTAGGGCATAATTATGACAGTTCACTTAAGTTCTATAAGTACACTTTAAAGTGAATAAGTATACTTTAAAAAGTGAAGTCATTTTTATTTTATGTCTGTAAAGTTTTGCTCCAAGAGGCATGGTCATAAGTTGCTTACCTTGTCCATTTCCAGTATTGTCAACGTCAGCCAAACACAAACAGCCTTGATCAAATTCTTCTTTTTCTCCCAGAACAGTAGACCACCAATCACGGGCTTTAAATAAAGACATTTTCGTTCACTATAAAAAGAAAGCATATATTTATAGTAAAAATTTACTTCACATCATGAATTATAAATTAATTATGTCTTAAAGCATAGCAAATTAAACTTGGACAATGTTAAGAAAAACATTTCTGAATTTAAATTTAAATTTTTTATATTTTGCAGAAATGTGTGAAACCACAAATCCAAACAACTGGAAACATAATCAGATATTTTGCAAAGCCATTGGAGAGTCAGTCTGAAAAATTCTATACATAAATGTTGGGCCAATTCTTTCTTCTGGAACATTTGGTAGAGAATGACACAAAGTATCAAAAAATATTCTTTGGAGGATCAAGATTCAAATTCTAACAGCACTAATTAGTACATAATTCCTTAGCAAAATACCTGATTTTCCTTCATTTTGGTCTTTGGAAAGACCACAGCATCTCTTGTCACAATGGATTGCTGAGAAGAGCAAATGAGTTCAAATGACTAACACTGGAACTGATACATTACAGGGACTCAAAAAGCATTCACACACTTTCCCCATTCTAATTGTAGAAACGCAAAATGGAAGAGGGAAATTCACACCAAAACACAACCAGGAAAACTGAGTGCACAGGCATTTATACCACTATGTCACTAACCACCTGTGACTCAGGCAACCCATAAAATCTCCCTCTACTTTGATTCCTCATCTAGAGTGAAGATATGCCAGTCACATCTACCACTGATATTGATATAGTAAATGTGAAAGCCCATTGGACTTCCTGAATTACAACACAAACATCACACACCCTGGGATTCTATGGAAGTTCACTTATCCAACATAAATGAGCCTTTTCTTCATGCTACACTGATTTAAATAATTGTTAGGAAATGCAGTCAATTTTCCTTATTCAAAGACATTTCCATTCTACAAGGCTGCAGCAAACCTTAGCAAATACTGAACTACTTCTCCCAGGGAAAGGAGAAAGTTAGGCTCCTGTGAGCCTCTAGTCACAATATTTTCATGAATCAATCAATACATAACTTTGTTTTTTATGTGTCTCTGTTTAAAGATACTTTATTTAATATACTGTTGATCCACGAACATTCAAGCTCAAGAGTCAATAACGCTATCACTGGGGCGCCTGGATGGCTCAGTCGTTAAGGATCTGCCTTTGGCTCAGGTCATGATCCCAGGGTCCTGGGATCGGGCCCCGCATCGGGCTCCCTGCTCCGCGGGGAGACTGTTTCTCCCTCTCCCTCTTCCCCTGCTTGTGTTCCTTCTCTCGCTATCTCTCTCTGTCAAATAAATAAATAAAATCTTAAAAAAAAAAACACTATAACTCATACTTGAAGGAAGCTTATCTGATACATATGTTTTCTCTATAAGGTACATAGCAACCTTCTCAAACTGAGGAACATTAGACAGCCCTTCACCACTACATCTGGGAACCTTTTTAAGCAACAAAAATTTAAAAAAACAAACAAATAATTAAGCCCAAACCACAGAGATGTGGAAAACATGGCACTAAGTAGACCATGAAAAGGATACTTGTATATAGTATAAGAGCTGAAACAAGTAGGCAGTTACTGTGGATGATATCTGCTGGGAATATGTGCGTCAAGTGACTCAAATTTTTTGCCACTCTGTGCATGATCATGAATGACCCAAAAGCACCATGAGTATTGTAAATAAATTTTTTTTATTTATGACCCAAAAGCACCATGAGTATTACAAATAAATTTTAGCAAACAGGTAAACTCACAAGTAGGGAATCTGCAAATAATGAGGATCAACTATACATTTAAAAAAATGTAGGGCACCTGAGTGGCTCAGTTGGTTAAGCGTCTGCCTTCGGCTCAGGTCATGATCCCAGGCTCCTGGGATAGAGCCCCACATTGGGCTCCCCTGCTCTGTGGGGAGCCTGCTTCTCCTTCTCCCTCTGCCTGCCACTCCCCCGCCTGTGCTCGCTCTCTCTCTCTCTGTCAAATAAATAAATAAAATCTTTTAAAATAAATAAAAATTAAAATTAAAAAATGTAAATCAATCTGCTTCTTAAAGTAGGCTTTCCACATAGGCTAATCACAGAAAGCAAGACCACTTGCTTTCATTAAGTTGGCCAAGAAATTAGCTGAGAATCATGTGGTGGTGAAAACTGCAGAATCTGGAGAAGGTCAATGTGAATTTGAATCCATGTTCCATACAAACCATGAAATCAGTGGAGGGTTACTAAAAGTCAGCTTCCTCATCTCTAAAATAAAGAATGATATTGTGAGGAATAAATAAGAATGCAGTAGAGGCAACCTATGGAAGAATATATCTACAAATTACATATCTAATAAAGGGTTAATATACAGAATACATAAAGAACTCATACATGTCAACAAAAAAAATTTTTTAATGGGCAAAGGACTTGAACAGACATTTCACCAAAGAAGATATATAAATGGCCAAAATGCATGTGAAACAATGTTCAACATCACTAATTATTAGGGAAATGCAAATCACAAACATAATGAAATACCACCTCACACCCACTAGGGCTCCTACAAACAAACAAAAAAAACAGAAAATAACAAGTGTTAGCAAGGATGTGATGTAACTGGAACCCTTGTGCACTGATGGTGAAAACCTAAAAGAGTGCAACCACTATGGAAACTGTATGGTGGTTCCTCAAAAAATTAAAAATACAAATTACCAGGGCTCCTGGATGGCTCAGTCAGTTAAGCATCGACTGTTGATTTCAGCTCAGGTCATGACCTCAGGGATGTAAGATAGAGCCCCATGTTGGGCTCCGTGCTGAGCATGGAGCCTGCTTAAGATTCTCTCTCTCCCTCTCCTCTACCCATCTCCCCTGCTATCTCTCCCTCTAAAAAAATAAAAATATAAAATAAAAAACAAAAAATAAATAAATAAATAAAAATATAAAAATATAAATTACCATATGATCCACCCATTCCACTTCTGGGTATATATTCAAAGGAAATGAAAACAAGAATTCAAAGAGATATGTACGCCCATGTTCATAACAGCATTATTCACAATATCTAAAAGGCAGAGGCAACGCAAGTGTCCATCAATGAATGATTGGATAAACAAAATGTGGTATATACATACAAGGGAGCTCTGACACATGCAACAACATGGATGAACCTTGGGAACATTATGTTAAGTGAAATAAACCAGTCACAAAGACAAATATGACATGATTCCACTTATATGAGGTATCTAAAGTAGCCAAATTCAAAGAGAGTAGAATGGTGGTTGCCAGGTTTGGAGTGAGAAAGAAGTGGAGAGCTTTTGTTTAATGGGTATAGAGATTCAGTTTTGTAAGGTGAAGAGTTCTGGAGACTGGTTGCACAAAAATGTGAATGTACTTAACACTACTGAACTGTACACTTAAAAATGGTTAAGATGGTAATTTTATGTTATGTATATGTATGTTATATGTATATGGTAACGTTATGTATATGTATGTATTTTATGTTATGTATGTTATGTATATGTATATATGTTATCACAATTCAAAATCAAAAATAAAAACTTTTAGTTTGAAAAAAAGAAACATGGTATTATTAGCACAATACTTGCTACATATACTCACTCAATAAACCTTAGCCATTGTTACGGTTTTTACCTTTTTATGATTTTTTTTTTAAAACTTACACTGAAGAAAAACAAATGTCCTTCAATGTGTGAATAAACAAACTATGGTAAATCCTTACCATATAATAAAACTCAGCATTTTTTTTTAAATGAAATAACAACATGGATGGATCTCAAGGGCATTATGCTGAGTGAAAAAAAAAGCCCAACCCCCAAAGATCACATATTAAATAATTCCATTTCTATAACATTTTCAAAAGGAAAAAATTAAACTGATGGAAAACAGATCAGTGATTGCCAGCGTTGGGGAGGGGGGTGAATTTAATGGGCTAGGAGAAGGGAATTTCCTTGGGATGATGGAAAAGTTCTGTACCCTGATTTTAGTGGTGGTTTCATGGGATAAATTTTAATTTCTTCGAGCTATATTCCAAGATGGAAAGTGTATATAATATAAAACATAGTGAAATCTAAGATTTTTTAAAGTAAGATTTATAGTTTAGTTATAGTATTACACTAACATCAATTTAGTAGCTTGATAATTGTTCTGCTACCACTGGGAAATCATTACTTTTACAATTTCTATGTGAATATATTATTTCAGATGATAAGTTTAAAGAAACAAACAATAGGAAAAAAAGAAAAAAGAAAACTCCATCCAAGGCCTCTCTTTACACTAAAAAAGAAATTAGTCAGATAAAGGCAAAGTGTTGATGGAAGTGAAGGGAAAAAAACATAGGAGGTAAATAAGCTTATGCGTTTTAACATATGTGGGAGAGTTTCTGAAAAACATCTGCATCATTTGTCATTACTAATGCCATTATATACATACAGATTGCCAGATGACTAAACTTCAAACCTGGCAGCAAGTATACAAAAAATGTAATAAACACTTTATTATACTTTTACTAGATTTTTTTATTTGAGAGGGAAGTAATAGTACTTAATAAGTGCCACATAGTCTCATTATATACTCCAGATATATATGGAAAGTTGTAATACACCTATATACTATTAGACTACAATATAAAGATACATCATTCTCTTGCAGCCCAGAGCAGAATATTACCCAAATTCAATACCACTCAAAGATTCACTTGGAGGACTCACAGCACTCATCATATAGTTATTATCATGGCCACGATTTATTACAGTGAAAAAATAAAAAGCATAATCAAAAAAGGGAAAAGGTGCATAAGGCTGGGCTGTGGGGGACTGGGGAGCGGAGTTCTGGAGGAAATCAGACACAAGCTTCCAAGGTAGAAAAACTGGGCTCTGGGGTCAGAGGCCAGGAAAAAAAAGAAAAGAAAACTGAATAGGGGCATCCAATGATACCAAAGGAAAACCAGGAGAGTGCCATCTGGAAGGAAATAGGGAAAAAAAAGTGTATCTAGAAAAAGAGAGTGGCCAGCTCTATGAAATGCTGCTGATATGTCACAAAGAATGAAAACTTGGGGTCAAAACTCCATTTGGAGACATAGTCAAAAATAGAAATCAACAGGCTAACCAACAAGTATGGGATCCTTTGTACACATTCTGCATCAGCCAGTTTAAAAGGAGTCTCAAGGAGAGAAAATAGGAAGAGTAGATCTGTTCAACATCCAAAGGGGTATCTTTCCCCTCATGTAGGCAGAAGAGAAAACCTCATGGGACCTGCCTAGAGAACATATTAAACACACAAGTAATGATCACAAGGAAGAGTTTTCTCCATCAATGCTATTAAATAATATATAAAAAATCAAAGTGAGTATAAACACACATGACTGCATCAGGTAAAAATAGCTATTATGGGGCGCCTTGATGGCTCACTTGGTTAGGCAACTGCCTTCAGCTCAGGTCATGATCCTGGAGTCCCGGGATCGAGTCCCACATC